GTTCGCTCGAAATCCCCGTGTATGGCGAACGATTGTTGCACAAAACATTTTCCTAAAAAGTTCTCTGAAACCACGACTCTCGACGAAGAAGGCTATCCACGATACAGACGTCGTGATAATGGCAGGACCATAGTAAAGAATGGCATTCCATTGGATAACAGATACGTTGTGCCTCATAACAGAAAATTGCTCCTGAAGTACGGCGCGCACATTAATATGGAGTGGTGCAACCAGTCGAGGTCCATCAAATATTTGTTCAAGTACGTAAACAAGGGGAACGATCGTGTTACTGCCACGTCCCATGAGTCGAATGGAGCTGAGTCCTTTAGCAGGCCAGTTGACGAGGTGAAGATGTACTATGATTGTCGGTACGTTTCATCATGTGAGGCTGCGTGGCGTTTGTTGGATTTTGAGATTCAATACAAGCATCCATCAGTGGAGCGCTTGAATTTTCACCTCGAGAACGAGCATCCGTGTTACTATACCGATGAAGCCCCGATCGATGAAGTGGTTGAGAAAAATAAAAATGCCGGCAGCAAATTTTTAGCTTGGATGGAAGCTAACAAGAAGTATCCCGAAGCCAGGAAACTGACGTACATTGAGGCTCCCACCAAATTTACGTGGCACTCGGAAACCAACAGTTGGGAGCCTAGAAAAGGAAGTAATCGTATCGCGCGTTTGTACTTCGTCCCCCCTGGTGCTGGTGACATATATTATTTGCGGTGTCTTATCAACGTTGTTCGAGGTGCAACGTGCCATCGTGACTATATGAAGTTGGACGGAGTACAACACGATTCGTATCGTGATGCGTGTTTTTCTCTTGGTCTGGTGGAGGACGACAAAGAGTATATTGAAGGGATTATCGATGCAAGCCAGTGGTCGAGTGCCAATTCGTTGAGAAACCTTTTTGCTACTTTGTTGTCTTCTGATACTCTCGGTCGACCTGAGTTCGTGTGGGAATCATGCTGGTCTTACCTGTCGGATGATATATTATATAATCGTCGGAGGGTTTTACAACACCCAGGTAAACGAATCAATTATTGTCACATACTTATGTTTTTTTTTATTTTTTTCTTGTGGTCATTATATTTATAATCTTTCTATATTGTTGTGACAGAATTGGTTTTGAGCGATGATGAAGTAAAGAATCTGGCATTGGCAGAGGTTGAAAAAATTTTGCGCAGACGTGGTACGAGTCTACGAGAATATGGTACAATGCCTTTTCCTAATCTTGATCGTAATGAGGCATCCACGAACAGACTGGTGATGGACGAGTTGAATTACGATCGTCGTGCACTCGCTATTGAGAATCTGGAGTTGGTTG